CCTACATAAACAACTACACATACAACTTTACCTTGTTAAAGATCCATAAACACACACACAACTTTATTTTGCTAAAGAGAATCAAAAGCCATATACGCCTAATGCTTTTATAATTTAAAATATATTACTAATCATTATTTTTACTTTACATAGAATGTTTTCAAAATTATTTACTGACATAGGAAAATATTTATTGCATAGCATTAACTGACAAAACAGAGTAAAAAAATATATATGTATAATAATTTCAGATTAATTTAGAGGTACGATTCAGCCCGTAAGAAAGAAAAAAATTGAAAATAAATTAAATATATCCAAATTGTGTTATTTCTTTTGAATGACAGAATAATTGTGATTCTCCTGTATCATCTTTTATATTTACAAAATTGTATTCAATGCATATATATCTATTTTGTAATGAACAAAATTTCACTTAAGGTACCAATGTTTTTTTAAATTTTATAATTGTTATGTAAGCCAGGCCTACGTAATCTCTTATAATTCATGTTTATTTATTTACTGATTGATTGTTTTACTGCACAAAAATATATATTAAGCACCTTGCAAGTATTGGTGTGCACCTAAATGTTAGTTTAAGAGAAAAGAAAAGTAAAGACCTTTTCTTCATGACCAGTTCATTAGACACAATCCTAAAATTAAATCAATATATATTGGGGAGGAATAATTCAGAATGTTGTAAAGGACCAAAATAGGCAAATTTAATTTTAAATTAACCAGCCAAGAAAGGCTTCCAAAATGAAATAACATCTAAACTACAACATGAAGAGTTCCCTAGAGCTAGCAGTGACTTGGTAAAACTTCTTTCATTTGCAAAACAGGAGGAAGAAAGGTCAGTGTTATTTTGCTCAGACAGAAATATTCAAATACATTTCACTTTCCTTCATTATGTGCCACTCAGTAAACATCAAGTTTAAAAATCCATTTAAATAAATAAATTATTAAATAACTGTCACGCAAATTTTGCTCAGTTCTATTTTATGTGATTCTATTTTATGTTAGACTTTGACTAAAACAATCATGCTAAAAAGGGAGATTATACAGGATAACCAAATGTTGGGAAATGATGACCTTAATTTGTACTGGGTGTTGAGAATGAAAAAGTCAAGCAGATACACTGCTGTTAAGCTTTTGCTGGAATGAACACCATTTGATATAAACTGGCACACTTTTATCTACTGTGAACCATGGGCAAGTTCCATCTCTGGAGTAGAAGAGATGATATAAACACAGAAAACAAACACATTCTCCTTTTCTTTGTCATCAAAACTTCACATCAGCACCATGTCTTGATTTGAAATAGCATGTAAACATTTCTTTTTAAATATTACTATTCATATTTATGTGTAATGATAAATCGGTTTGAATATGTGATGGCCTAGCTGTACAACACACATTATTTATTATCACTTCAACAATGACAGAGATGCATGTTTCTTTTGTCTGTCCGAGATATATCCTTTTTCAGTCTGTCCGTGAGACCACCAGGTGATGGCTACATCTTAGTCTGTGTCTTGTTGTTAAGTGCCATCGAGTCGGGTCCGACCCATAGCGACCCTGTACAGGGTTTCCGAGGGTGTAAATCTTTACGGGAGTAGAAAGCCTCATCTTTCTCCCGCGGAGCGGCTGGTAGTTTCGAACCGCTGACCTTAAGGTTTGCAGCCCAATTCGTAACCACTACGCTACCAGAGCTCCTTTTAGTCTGTGTCTGGGTTCATTTAAATCCTCACTGGACATGGAATGAAGACATCTTTCAACAACTGACTCAAATCAGACAACATTTTCCCACTTCAAACTGTTTTCTTATTGTTGTTTTTTACAAAATGGAGGCTGATGTCGCAGAGGTTGCTGCAGTTAACTACCGAGCACCCACAAGCATCATGAAGGTTTGAAGGGTGTGCCTTCAAAATTATGTGAGCTTAGTGTTCAATAACTTTTAGATACACCAAAAAGTATAGTGCTTGCAAAACGGATTTAACAAATTGATTATCTTTAAAATACAATCTTTTTCTTTCTTAATTTTTAATGGAACAAGTGTCAAGTGTGTGAGTGCATGGTTTTCTTCTGAAAAACAAAAATAAAACGAGCTCTAAATCTTTATGTCAACAAACCAAATCCACTGTCATCAATTCTATTCCAGCTCATAGCGATCCTATATAGGGTTTCCAAGACTGTATATCTTTACAGAAGCACACAGCTTCATCTTTCTCCTCAGGAAATGTTGGTGGGTTTGAACCATCGACCTTGTGGTCAGTATTTCTCCTACAGCACCACCAGGGTTCCTTATTACAACAGTAGACAGCAACAAGCATGGGAACAGGAGTATCAACACAAAAAAATGTAATTAAGTTCACTTTTTAATTAAAGAAATTATTTTGAGTGACTGAAACTGGCATTATTAGAGAATGACTGTCACTCTGTATTCTCTGGCAGGTTAAACCTGGGGGGTGGGGGTTGACATTTTCAGGAAAATGAATGAAAAAGATCTCTTAGAAATAATATTCTTGCTACCTTCAAAACCTAGTGGTCTATATCTTTATTCGTTTTGAGAAAAAAACCTCTCTGAAAACATAGCGATAACGCACACCTGAACCACTAACTTCTCTGCAGTCCTGGGTCATCTGCAATACTAAAACAGGTTCTCTATAGCTCTGGTAGCGTAGTGGTTACGAATCGGGCTGTGAACCGCAAGGTCAGCTGTTCGAAACTACCAGCTGTTCCATGGGAGAAAGATGAGGCTTTCTGCTCCCGTAAAGAGTTACAGCCTCTGAAACCCTGTACAGGGTCGCTATGAGTCAGAACCGACTCCACGACACATAACAACAACAACATGGCACTTTAGAGTAGTAGTTACGAATCGGGCTATGAACCGCAAGGTCAGCAGTTCCAAACTACAAACTGTTCCTTGAGAGAAAGATGAGGTATTTTGCTCCCGTAAAGATTTACAGCCTCAGAAACCCTGTACAGGGTCACTATGAGTCGGAACCGACTCCATGGCACACAGCTACCACCACCACCATGGAGCTTTAAGGAGCTCTGATATAGTAGTGGTTACGAGTCCAGATGTTAAACTCAAGGTCGGCAGCTACAAGAGTCCTGGTGTGGCGCTATGGGCTAATGCGTCAGACTATAAAGTCGTTTGAACTACAAGGTCGATGGTTCAAGCTCACCAACTGCTCCTTGGAAACCCTGTAACAGGGTCGCTATGCGTGGGAATCGATTCAACAGCACTTAATAACACCAGCTGTTCTGCGGGAGAAAGATGTCCTTAAAGTTTTACATCCTTGGGAACCCTATGCAAAGTCGATATGAATCAGAACCAACTCTATGGCATACCACCACCACCACCACATAGCGCTGTGGGATAATATACTGGATTGCAGAGTCGATTCGAACCTCAAGGTTGGTGGTTCAAGCTCACAGGCTGCTCCTCAGAAACCCTATACTGTGTCGCTATGGATCGGACCCTACTTGATGGCACCTAACAACAACATACTATAGGAGGTAGACAAGATCAGAGGCAATAGCTAAAGTAGTAAAAGAAATACACCAACCTATAACTCCTAGTGGAGTCCTGGTGTGGCGCTGTTGGCTAATGCATCAGACTGCAAACTCATTTGAACTGCAAGGTTGGTGGTCCAAGCTCAACAGCTGCTCCTTGGAAACCCTATACAGGGTCGCTATGGGTCGGAATCAACTCGACGGCACTTAACAACTCCTAAAGTCCTGGTGTGGCACTGTGGGTAAAGCACTGGACCACAAGGCCGTTTGAACCACAAGGTCAGCGGTTGAAACTCATCAGCCGCTCATTGGAAACCCTATACAGGGTCACTATGAGTCAGAACCAGCTCAACAGGACTTAACAACAACAACAATATAACTCCTAGTATGAAATGATGGTTTCTGGAAGAGCATTATTAAAAGTAGCTGCTGAGCATACTTCCTAAAGATGCCTATCAATGTTAAGTAACTTGGTAATTTCATTCACTGATTTGAAAAAGAAAGATGATATCAGTGCTTAGGAACATGATTTCTGAAAAAAAGGACAATTTTCCAAGCACAAAGGGTTGCATGAGGTCACAGAAGCCACAAAAACACCCAACTGAACGCTGAAAATCGATTTAAAAATCAATCAGATAACCTACGAGAGCCTTTCGGGGGGGAAAGGTACATACGAATTCTCCCTGCTGCATCCAAGTTATGAAGTCCCGCAGGGCTACATTATCTTTCACTTCATCAGCCACAATTTGAGAGCATGGAACAAGAAGGAGGGCCAGCAGATAAAAAGGAACATTTAGCCACACACATATTTATAGCACAATTCCTTTGCAGAGGGAATAGGACCCCTTTTGTGGGTGTTTAGACTTGACCTTCCTCTGGCAAGAATTATTTGGCTTGTTTTCCTATGTAGGGAAGTTCTGAAATATTAACACAGCTGTAGGCAAAGGAAGAGGTTGGTCAAAAAGCCCACCCACAGGTACCATAGAAAATATGGTACCATTTTCTAAACGAAACTTCGAGTAGAATCAGACAAAGTTTGCCTTAGTGTTTGCCTTCGAGTAGAATCAGACAAAGTTGCCTTAACACTCTTTAGAGTGTTAGCATCATAAATTTCCTATTGGGCAAGCTATTAAAGGTAAGAGATTGAGGAACACTGTCAAAGAATGTTAAAGGGGGGGGGGGTTGGTTGTTTTTTTGTTGTGTGTGGGGTTGTGTTTTTTTCCCCAAAAGGAGTCCAGGCACCTGTTGATGTATTTTCCAGACCCTTGAATGATAACAATTTATAAGGCTATTAATACTAAGCCTAAGATTTATCAGATGTGCTGTTTGTCTTGTGGCCAATATAACCTCATAAAATTTAGGTTGCATTGGGTTAAACAGTGTTTTGTTGTTGGAGTTATTCAGAGCATTTAAATCGGCTAATCCTAGGCGAACAGCACATTTAGCCCGCCTATTACAGAAAAATCTTTAGGGACTCATACCAGTTGCAGAACCAGGCTTGAGGGGGCGGTCCGTCTCTGGGTGAGGCAAAACGGAGGCAGCAGGGAAGGAGTGGGTCCTAGAGACAAGTCGATGTTTGTCCAATCGGTCCATGCCAACTACAGCCAGGGGAGCTTGGCGCACGGAGAGCGCATGTGCATGCTGGGACTCCAGGAAGGGCTGTATGAGAGAAAACAGCACAGTAGAAAGAAACGTGAGACAAGAATTGAGGGAGACATTGAGAGAGACATGTCAACAAATTAAGTTCATCAGGTCAGAGACATAATAAACGGTGTGAAGGAAAAAGGGGAAAAAAATAATAATAGAGAAAGGCAGAGAAAAAACAAGACCTAGTCAATAAATCTATTCAGCAGATGTTTTCACACTGACAGTCAGGCCTGTCTGGCTAAGGAGGAGGTGATGGCAGGAGGCCTGTCAGTTTGAACTGATTGAGAGAAACAGACCTTTCACCTCAAGAGTAACATCGACTTCCCAAGACTCATTTCCTATCTTAATACCAACGTTCTGAATACAGCCCCAGAGTTGTTGCAACACCAAGTGGGAGAACAATGCATTTGTCTTCAAACTGCCTATGAGGCTCAACTCTGAAAATTCTATTGCAAATTTGTTTCAATAATATTTTGATGAAAAATGTATAGAGTCTCGAAAATTACCAATTAAATGTGTATGTGTTGAAACCTTTCAATCATCATATAATGGTACAGATTAATGATTTTTTTATAGGTATTGTATGGTGGACTCAATATTTAAAAACATATTAGTATTTTTATATAGTATTAAGTGTATTCTTAGTGCTTTAACAAGGTTGCCATCCTGTGTATTTCTCAGGTTATAAAATCAAAGAGCCAAAAATTAGAAAGCTTTGGGAAGATTCCATTTACTCCTGTCTCTAAGAAAGTCAATCCCTAAAACACAGAAAGGCAGCCAATCTAACCATCAGTACTACACAGTGAATATTTCCTTTCTTCAACATCAGGAATTTCATAACCTTTTCTGTTCTTTATGCTCCAGTTGAACAGCGGTGGGAAAGCATGCCCGTCATGCATATGGAAACTGACACTCTAAAAAGTTAACAGTATCCTGCCATATAAATCTCATTCCTAGAATTTAAAAATTGTCACCTGCTACCTAGACAGCATTTAATATTTCAAAACTTGGCTAAAAAAAAATATCATGTCTCTTTAAGGACAACTTCCCTCAAGCTTCTTGTTAGCTTAGATGTTCCTTTAGCAACAAGCATAATCCATTAAGATGTCATATTTATCTTGAATTTCCAACATGGGGCCTCGCACACCCTAAGGGTAAATATTATTCAATAAGGAGAAAGCAAGCGATACACACAACACATGCGTATTCAATGTACGTCCTGGTGCAGCGCTGTAGAATAAGTACTGGACTGCTAATTGCAAGGTCAGCGATTCAAACCTATCACCTGCTCTTCGGAAACCCTATACAGGGTCCCTATGAGTCAAAACCCACTCAATGGTACTTAGCAGCAACAACTATGCAATTTAGTGTTTTCCTTTCTCTGTATATATGAGTTAGTATTATTTATTGATACATGCTATGCCACTGGATATGTTTAGTAAGAGATCATAGTAGAAATTTCTCAATTTATAAAAGAAAAATTAAAACTAGCTTTAAAAGGAATTATAATTAATGCGCATGTCATTATTTATGTTTGTCTCTGAAGAATGATCAAACAACGAATCAAGCAGAAAGCCATTTGTCACATACTCGACTTTGGGCAATTTCTTTGATGATGAGGATGGCTTGGGTCAGAGATCTAGGAGTTCTAGTTATAATAGTCTTAACAATTTACAAAAACAAAGTCTATTTCTCTTATTTCTTGCATGGTTCTCATGTTCAATGTCCTGAGGGTTCAGCAGTAAGATTAATTTGTAGATTAACAGAGTTAATCTTACTCTGTTAGTAAGAGAGAACTTACTAACACTTCAAAAATAGTAGGGGATTCAACTACATAATTATGAGTGGGCAAGTTTTCAAACTGGAAAAGATAGTTTTTTTCACATGATTGAAAAAAAAAGCATATGTAAATATATTCTTCATGTTGGTAGCATCTAATTCTTTTTTCTCTTCCATTCTCCTCATTAACTCTCATCTAAATGAATGCACCACCACTCCTCCATCAGTTTGCTGTACTGTGATGGCATATGTGATGCTGTGATGCTGGAAGCCAGGCCAATGGAATGTTCAATATCAGTATGGTCACCCATGGTGGACAGGTTTCAGCAGAGCATTCAGTATAAGACATACAAGGAAGGAAGAAGGAGAAGTGAACCACTTCTGAAAGCTAGCCACTAAAAACTTTATGAACAGAAGCAGACACTTAGTACCTCAGGATGATCCACTCAGATTGGAAGGCACTCAAAATACAACTTAACAAGAGCTGCTTCCTCAAAGTAAACTTGGCCTTAATGATGTGGATGGAGCAAAGCTTTCATAGAATGTATGAAATACGAATCTAAGAAAATTAGAAGTATTAAAAAATAAAATGGAACCCATAAAGATCAATATCCTAGGCATCAATGAGCTGAAATGGACTGGTATTTGACCTTGAATTTGACAATTATATGGATTACTAGCTAGGAATGACAAATTCAAAAGGAATGTTATCATATTCATCATCAAAAAGACCATTTCAGCATCTATCCCGAAGTACAATGCTCTCTGTGATAGCATACACCTAAAGGGAATACCACCATTATTCAAATTAACGTACCAACCACTAATGCCAATGATGAGGAATTGAAGAATTCTTCCAACTTCTCCCATCTGAAACTGATCAAACATGCAGTCAAGGTCCATTGATAATTAGTGGTGATTGGAATGTGAAAGTCGGAAACAAAGAGGAAGGATCAGTAGTTATAAAATATGGCCCTGGTGATAGAAACGATGCTGGAAATCACAGAAGAGAATTTTTCAAGACCAACAACTTATTCATTACAAGTACCTTTCTTTAAATATGTAAAAGGTGACTATACATCTGGACTGCAACAAATGGAACACACAGGAAACAAATTGACTGCATTCATAGGAAGAAACAAGGGGAAAGCACGATATCATCGGTCAAAACAAGCCCAAGGTCTGACTGTAGAAAAGACCATTAATTGCTCACATGCAAGTCTAGGCTGAAGTTGAAGAAAATTAAAACAAGTCCACAAGAACCAAAATATTGTGCCTGGATGTACACACCATCTCAAGAACAGATTTGATACATCTGATACTAATGGCCCCAAACCAGAAGAGTTGTGGGATGGTATCAAGAACTTCATATATGAAGAAAGCAAAAAGTCATTTAAAAGACAGGAAAGGAGAAAAGACAAAATGAATGTCATAAGAGTCTCTGAAACTTGCTCTTAAGCAGAGACACTAAAGTAACTGAAAGTAAAAAGGAAATAAAAAAGCGGAACATAACATTTCAAAGGGGTGCTTAGAAGACAAAACCAAGTATTATAATGAAATGTACAAAGACCTGGAATCACAAAAGAAGAGAGAAGAACATGCTCAGCATTTCTAAAACTGAAAGAACTGAAGAAAAATTCAAGCCTCGTTTTGAAATATTAAAGGATTCTGGGGCAAAAAAAAAAAAAAAGGATTCTGTGTGTGGCACTGTAGGATAAACACTGTACTACTAACAAGAGCAGCAGTTCAAACCTACCATCTGCTTCTTGAAAAAGACTCAATGGCAAGTAGCAAAATATTCAAAATATTAAGTGATGTTGCAAGCATCACAAGAAGATGGAAGGAATATATACGAATTACTGCACTGAAAAGAATTGGCAAATAATCAATCATTTCAAGAGGTAGCATATGATCAAGAACCAATGATACTGAAGGAAAAAGTTCAATTTGCAGTGAAATAATTAGTTAAAAACAAGACTCCAGTAATTGATAGAATACAAATTAAAATGTTGCAGCAAATGGATGCAGCAGTTGGCGTTCCTCACTGTCTATGCCAAGAAATTTGGAATACAGTAACTGGCCAACATATTTATGCCCATTCCAAAGAAAGGTGACCCAATAGAATGCAGAAATCTAACAATATTATTAATATCACATGCAAGCAAAATTTTGCTGAACATAATTAAAAAACAGCTGTAGCAGTACATTGACAGAGAGATGCCAGAAATTCACATCAAATTCAAAATACATGGGACTGGGACATCATTGCTGATATCAGCTGGATATTGGCTAACCACAAAGAATACCAGAAAGATGTTTACTTGTGCTTTATTGACTAGGCAAAAGCATTTGACTGTATCACGAAAAATTACGCAACTTTGTGAGGAATGGTAATTCCAGAGAATTCTATTGTACTCATGAGGAAACCATACAGAGACCAAGAGGGAATAAGTGAACACTGAATGGTTTAAAATCAGGAAAGGTATACACCAGGGTTGTATCTTTTTACCATACTTACTCAGTCAGTATGCTGAGAAAATAATCCAAGAAGCTAGATTACATGAAGAAGGTGGCATTGGGGGTGGAGGAAGATTCATTAACAACTTGTGATATGCCCATGACACAGTATTATTTGCTGAAAGCAAAAAGGATAAAAAAATACTTACTGATGAAACTCAGACTACAACCTTCAATATGGCTTGTACCTTAAAGTTAAAAAAAGAAAAAAATTCTCATAGCTGGACCAATAAAT